GTTGTGTATTGAGAAAGATGCATTTGAAAATGTCTCCCCGTTCAATACCTGACTTCAAATAACTTTCTAGTAATATTCAAATAAATATACTTCAATTCTTAATTTGCTTTAACATATCTATCATAAAATTTTTTAGGAATTCACTCAGAAAACTCCATTAAATTGTTTTACCCTTAAACATTTATAATATTCATCATTACAAAATCATCGTCTCATCTCATACTCTCACCAGAGAATACATTACGTTGGTTTAAAGAGGTCATGTATCAGACATTTTCAAAGAATATTGCTATTAAATATTATGAAAATGCAGAAAAGAAAGTAAACAATTTTAAGACTAAACAGATATAATAATAATTAGATAAATATCGTATTAAGCTTATTAAGCTGATGATTTACTATAAGCCTCAGGCAACCAGATCTTATAATTAATTCTTCACCATTTGTTGAGTTGAAGTTTCAGACAACAAAGCTTTGTTATTACTATTTAGATTGATTAAGTTTTGGGCAACTGAACTTTATCATTTCCACCCATTGAATTAAAGTTTTGGGCAACCGGGCATTATATTATTATTTCTCCTCCTTATCAAATACTATTAAAGTTTCGGGCAACTGGACTTAATAGTTATCACACTCATTACTATACCTTTTCCTTACTACAGTACTATATATTCCAAATAAATGATTAATTTAAAATCTTTGATCAATAGAACTTTCTACTTTATTTTATTTATTTATTTTAAATAAAACCATATGCAATGAGAATGGAAATTTTTATTAAATTTTAAAATAATTATTATAAAGAACTGATTCTGTTTGTATTTTATCTTAGGCAGAAAGTAAGCACTTTTGTTTCTGGTATCTGGTTGGGAAATAGAACCTCAAAAAGATAGCAAAAGATGAATTTGCTTCATCACCACATCATCTAATTAATGTAAGAAAAAGAATTCAAGAATCAGAGAATCATTTATGATTTGTGAAGCATGTCAAGGTATTAAATTTTTATGTATTTGGAATTATTTTAACACTCATTCACTTAACTACAATATCTTAGACCAGTTTAAAACCAAATAATGAGCTTAATAAATTCATTGAAGCAATTATAAGTTCTGATTTGGAGCAGTTGCCCGAAAATGAGCCACTCCGAAGTTGGCACATCAATACTGATACTATCCCACCCATTGTGTTAGAACATTTTCTATCTGAGTTCAAACAACTTCGTATAATTAATGATAAATATAGATTTATTCTTCCTGATGATGCTAAAATTTGGTTTGTACTAAGTTGCGAGTCTCTTACGAATGATTTAACATCACTGAATCTAGACAAACTAAAGTATAACAGAGGAGATGAAATATTTTTTTTACAAATGTTATATAGTATGTGAGTATTTAATTTTGGAAGTTTTTATTAGACGCAATTCTGATAAAAGATTTATTTTAGTTGAAATATATTCTTGAAATACAAAGATATCACCATAATGAAAATTTCTGAGAAAACTTGGTTGACAGATACAATTCATCAATTTTTAAAATCTGCTGTGCACGATATTCCTGGGCTGTCTGTTCACTCGTAAGCTAGAAAAATTAATTTAGTATATAATGAAGAATTTTTTTGGCTATCTAACGCTAATACTTTTACATTTTAGCACATGTGCTACTCTTTCGAGACATCTTGGAAATGAAGAAAATTGTAAACCAGACAGAACTGTAAGATTAAAACTTGAAAACAATCAGTTCAAAATTCTATACGTAGAAGGTGCAAACCCAGAATTGAAAGGAAGAAAGCATCAAGAAGACGCAGAAAAACTCTAGCAGCTTATAAAACTAAATCTTGATGAACTTCTAAGAAACCTTCAGCATACATATGGAAATAAAATAAATGAAGACATTGCAAAAAAAATTTATAATAATCCCCTTATTACAATTCAATCTACTCGTAGATATTATTTTTTAAGTTTATTCTTCAATTAATTTTTTAAAATTTAGAATTTTACTCATCAAAATAAATATTTTTAAAAACATCATTAATTTCGACCATTAGTGACAGAAGAGCTCACCCATTGATATGCACTACCACTTTCCATAATATTAAAATACTATTTTCAACTAAAGATCATATTCTACAACTGTCAAGAGGATTGAAATTAATTTCAATGATGTGGGAAATTCGAAATGTGTTAAAAATTATTTCTAATAATTGGAGAAACATTTTAGAAAGCATGGAAGAAATAACAATAATACTAACGGAACAACAAGTAAAAATTGATGAAAATATTCCTCAATTTAGAAACTTCATTCCCGGGCATTATCAACCAATACAATACTCTTATAATTAAATGAATAAATTTTGGTTTTTAAATTTATTAAATGTTTTATTAATAAAATTGAAAAATGGGTTCATGTCTTTCTAACGCATTTTACAAGTTACGTTATTAAATGATCTTTTTTATTTTCTGTTATGCAACCAATCATATGCAAGGTTATGCGTTTCTTTTAGATATCAACTTTAATTGTTTAGTTGGATAATGCATGAAAGCATATGAAATAACTTATCCAAATACAGTAAAACCTCTATAAGTGCACTCTCTATGAGTGTACACCCTCTCTAAATGCATGCTTAAATTTGGGTCCAAAAATCTACATGACCTCTATAAATGCACTTTTTCTTATTATTCTCTAAGTGCACATCATTAAAGTCGGTCCCTAAGGTGTACACTTATAGAGGTTTTACTGTTTTTTAGTTCAATAAATGCTTTAAATTAAAATTCATAGAACCATTTATTGTAGAATTTTCTAGAATTTTATACTACTAATTTTATCATCAGGTGGGCTAGGTGATAGAAAAAGTCAATTTTTTCAAGAAATACAGAAATTAATATATCCGAGATCCGAGGTAAATCAATTTACACAAATTTCAGTTATTTTATTAAAAAATCTCGAATAAATTATTAATTGTTTTCTCATTTTGCAGCTTTAATTGGAGCTGAACTTAATGTATATCACTTTGCACGTTCAGAATCTCGCAATTTTATAAGCTATATATTTTGTTTGTTTATTTATTTTGTTTACTACACTTAAGTTAAATTTATTAACTTTGGTTGGTTTTCAAATTTGAATTAGTAATATTAT